TATTTATTACATTATTTACTTTTTTATAGTTATAATTAGTATTTTAATACAAAAGATAAGTATAAAATTATGAAAAGCATTTATTAATTACTAAAAATAGATTTGAAGTTGCTATCAAATTTGACAGTAACTTCATTTGTTGCCTTTCCATGTCAAACCACATAGGAATTGACATTTCGGTTGGAAAACATTAGTAATCATGTGTGGACTAAGATTAGTGAAAGAAACTTAAAATTAAGTAGAAGAACCTTTGTTCAACTAAACCGACAAATTGGTGAGAAGTGCTATTGAATGCATGTCATCTTCCCTCCGAGGAACACATTGGTGATATTCCTTAAGCAATTTCACACCCTAAAGATAATACTATCATCAATCTTGAACACATAAAATGGCATAAATTCAATTGCTAAAATAATTAAAATAATTCAACGGTCAAAATAATAATAAAAATTCAATGGCTAAAATAATGATAAAAAAAAAAATTCATGTGTTTCATATTCTTTTATAGTGTTTCACGAGTTTCATGATGTTGGTTTCGTGATTTTTCAATATTTATTGGAATCTAAATAATTTTTTGTTAAAATGTTCATAAAATAATCTACATAATTTTTATTTTTTTTTTTTAGTTACTATAAAAAAAATTTCCTAAATTTATTTTTTAACAATCTCAGATTATAAATTTAACCCAAAAGAGTTAACGAAAAAACTGTTTCTGAGTTAAAAATCTTAAATTTTAACCGAGAATTGGAGATAATTTGATAGCACCATTCTGTTTCAATTGAATTATTAAATTGTGTTTCTTTTTCGTTTCAAACTCGTACACTAAGAAAGTGAAGGGAAACATGTAGTGGTAAATAAATAGTAGTGTGGTTTGCACGTAAAGCAAAACGGAACAGATTGCACCAGCTTGGATGCTGATTCGACCTTTATCCCCAACTTTTCTTTTTCCAAAGGACATTAATTCAAGAGTCACTCTATGGTCTAGCCGAAGATTTTCATAGCATTTAGAATATGAGAAGTATATCATGTATCATTATATAAATAAAGAAATGCTTTATTTTTTAAGTTGTTAATTTTTTTAACACAAGTATTTCACTATTTGTATAGTAACACATAATGTCTCACTTCGTATATCATGCACAATAAAAAAAAAATATCTCGAAAACTTGTAGTTGTTATCATTTATCATAGGAAAATACCTAGAAATAGGATAATTTCTTAATCTTAGGAAAGAAATAGGACATTTTGAATATGCACACACCATGCACAACAATCAAATAAAAAAAGGATTTTTCCTACACATTTAAATGAGTATATTGCCCTCCCATATAAATGGTTACCCTGAAATTTCGACCCTTATTTCTCATTTTGTAGAGAGAGAAAATCTCTCTTACCCAATTCCAGTTCAAAGAACCCTAACCCACCCATCTTCTTCATCCAAGAGCTCTCTCTCTTAGCCGCCCATCTTGTAAACCAGGTTTGCTTAATTTTGCTTTTTGATTGATCGGTTTCTGAAGTTAAAGTGATTGGTTTGGTGTTTCTTGGAGGAAACCAAAATCCTTCATTTTTTTTTTTTTTATCATTTCTCTTATTTATATGTGAGTTTTCATTTCTTCTGTCTTCTCCCTCCCCTTGATGCCTCTCTCGATCCAAATTTACAAGCACTAAAATAGGGTTTTGCTTTTGCTACAATTAAATGAAAAAAACGTATTAAAGATCAGTTGCCTTTTGGCAAATAGATAAATTTGAGGGAAATGAGAGAAATTAGAGTGGAAAGAAGGAAGAGAGAAGGATATGGGCGAAATTGTTTCGCGTACTCGTTTGCTCTCTTTGTATTAAGCTCATTCATACATTGTATGTACATGACATGCATATGGCATGCACATGTTATGCTCATATATATGAGCTCAACCCAAAAACCTATAGCTCATAACTCTCTCTTTGAAATCAGAAAAATAACGCAATCAGATAAATGACCCTATGAAGAATCGAAAATTTATTAATTGAATTTGGTATCAAATTTGATTGGGTTCAAATATTTCAAGGATTTGAAAATTGCAGTTTGAATGGGTACGAAAGAACCCAACTGAATAAAAGGAAATTGTTTCACGAACTCGTTCGTTTTTATTTATTTATATATTTCCAGGTCTTGCCTTTGAATCAAAGGAAAATGTAGTAAACTATGTTAATGCGAAGAGTATCAAAGATGTAAATATGCACCATATACACTATATGCACACCACATGAACATAATATGTACAGTACATGCACATGATATGCACAGAACGGGAGAAACTTTAGCAGCAACATATTGGTATAGTGAATACAATATTATTATTATCTTTTTTTATATTTTATATTGTTGTAGTTATTTTATATAAAAGTTTATCTGTAACACTTTTTCTTTTTCTTTTTTTTTTTCTTTTTTTGCCAAAAGCCCTTATATAATTATATTTTGCCAAACATTTTTCCGTTACTTCATCTTTCAGAGCAAAAATATTTTTTTTTGTAGTTATTTTAAATAAAGTTTATCCATAACAGTGTCTTTTTTTTTTCTTTTTTTGCCAAAAGCCCTCATATAATTATATTTTACCAAACACTTTTCCTGTTACTGTCTTTCAGGGCAAAAATATTTTTTTTCAAAGCAAAGTAAATATCAACCTAGCCTTTAATAATGAAATTTGTACGAAAAGCAAGACTGATTGCATCAGCTTGGACATGTTTCGACCACTTTTCTTTTTCCGAAGGACACAGTGGAAGACTCACTTTACCTTACGGTCTAGCTGAAACTTGTCGTTAGAAAAGGTTTCAAGTAAGACAAAATTATTACTATCAATGTTCTAAAAGGCGTTAGGCATTAGTTGTGAGATTCCACATCAACCAACGGAGAGGGGGTGATGTGTCTTATATGTACATACTCTCCTCCCTATAGCACGAGACCTTTTGGGAACTCACTGGCTTCGGATTCCATCAAAACTCCAAAGTTAAGCGAGTTTAGGCGAGAGCAATCCTAGGATGGGTGACCCATTGGGAAGTTCTCGTGTGAGTTCCCAGAAACAAAACCGTGAAGGCATGGCCAGGGCCCAAAACAGACAATATCGTGTTACGGCAGAGCCGAGTCTGGGATGTGACAGAATGGTATCAGAGCCACTCTACCATGTGGTGTGAGTGTGCCGACAAGGACGTTAGGCCCCCGAGATGGTGGATTGTGAGATCCCACATAGACCAACGGAGAGGGGGTGATGTGCCTTATATGTACATACTCTATTCCCTATAGCACAAGGTATTTTGGGAACTCACTGGCTTCGGATTCCATCGGAACTCCGAAGTTAAGCAAGTTCAGGCGAGAGCAATCCTAGGAACCCACTGAGAAGTTCTCGTGTGAGTTCCTAGAAACAAAACCGTGAAGGAGTGACCGGGGCCCAAAGCAGACAATATTGTGCTACGACAGAGCCGAGTCTGAGATTTGACATTAGTCGAGTTGCGGATTAGACTTAGTGCTTAGGTGGTTAGACGGGATCTAGGCGGATTTAAGTAAATTTTTTTATATATAAGTAATTGCTTATTTATACTTAAAAACACGCACATAAATTTATTTTTTTATATAAATAATTGCTTATTTATACTTAAAAACACACACATAATTGTATTGAGTTACATGAATTGCAAAATAAAATAACATAAATTATAAAGTATTAGAAATATGGGGAACAAGCATATAAATTATAATGAGTGTTCATCCAAATATTCAATAAGTCGGATTTAGATCTCATCCGGATGCAAATTTTAGGGATCCTAGGATTCTCACATCCTAGCCGTTCATTATACATCGTGTGACCAAAAATTATTTTGAATTTTTTTTATTTAAAATTAAACGGAAATAGCACATAACAAAAACTGACCGCACGATGTACGATAAAAGATTAGGATGTGAGGATCTGGATAGGATCCTCATCCCAATAAGTCTCCTACATTTTATTGAAAACTTAAAATGTAAAATGAAAGTTTTTTATTTTCTATTTAAGTGAGAATCGCGACCGAAGCGGGCACCTGAGCGAGTCTAGAAACATTTTCTTAATTTTCAAACGCTTAAAAAATAATCGGGCAGTGACCAGCCACCTAACATCAAGAATTTTTAACAGTGGTCACTATTAAGTTTTAATCAAAGTTGAGTGTGAATAGTATAAAGTTAATTATAAAACAAGTCTTGTTCAAATATGACCATTTCGTGTTAGGCTATCTGAGCTTGAATTCGAACAAAGCATGCATTCCTATGTATTAAGTTTTGCGTCAAAACAAACCCAACAATGCACAATATCCTTAGTAACCATGTGCGGGCTAAGATTAGTGACTTAAAATTAAGTAAAAGAACCTTTGTTCAATTAAACCGACAAATTGGTGAGAAGTGCCTTTGAATGCATGTTATCTTCCCTCCGAGGAACACATTGGTGATATTCCTTAGGCAATTTCACACCCTAAACATAATATATATTATCATCAACCTTGAAGACATGAAATGGCATATTGTGTCAAATTAACTAGTTTACAAACTTGGAGTGTATATAGATCTGCTGTCTGCACCAACTCCCAGTCCAGAACATCCATCTTATGTTACTATATTTTGTACCGATGATGTCTATAGTATCTCTCATATATGACGAATTTTCAAGTCTAATACGTAGACAACACATATTGAGTGACATGTCCGTAGGTCTTATATACATACCTCGTCCCTGCTACTTTCTCTTCAAGGACACTGACGTCCGTAACATTAAGCCTGTTGAACAAAGCTATAGACATAGGTTTATCACCATGTATTTAACAACCCCGCATTTTTTTTCCAAGTTAATATATTTAAATATTTTAGTGGCAATTGTATGGTGAATCATGGTCCAGAACTTAAAAGGCCTTGTGTAGCTGCAGAACTATATGATTATAAAATAAGAGGACATAATTTATATCAAAAAGATAATTTAAAATAAAGGACTGAAATCCAAAACGAGACCGTTATCAAATTACATTAATCTTCCTGGGCATTGAGTATATATCACTTCCAAAACAACACAGCAAAACAGAGTCCAAATCAACCCAAAGTACAATAGATCTAGACAGGGACCTTCAGACAAAAGTCCTAAATTACATAACATCTAAAAAAGTTTGAAAGCCAAATCCACGTAGGTCATTACATTTTGACACCAAGAAGTTAGCAAACACATGAACATCCTCCAATTTGAATCACTCTAAAATTTGTCTGTTTCATCATGTTTTGCTCTAGAGGAAGTCGAAAGTCCTACATTAAGAATATAAATTAAAGTATCAACATTCTCGTAAAATAACCATTAAATTAATAATAAGAATGGGTAAAATATATAATATAATATCGACTCATCACATTTCATCACTAGACATACAAAATAAAATATCATTCAGAAACAAAACCTCGTAGAAAATTCAGATTGTTCATTCCACAATACTTTCAGTTGAAGCGCACGCTTCATTCTTATCAAGGAATACGGTGGTCAGAACCAAGTTTGACAGCAACGATACCCTCAGCAATTTGACACCCTACGTACAAGGTTCAGATCACACATTAGGTCGACTACAAAATATGGACTCACAAAATTGAGAGAACAAAGAAAAAAAAAACAAATGTGATTAGGTACTTTTCACACCTCTTCCATGGTAAGATGGACCACTTTCTCTTCAAGGGCACCGACATCCTTGACGTTGAACCTGTTTAGCATGGTTATGCTTGAAATGCTAGACATGGGCTTCACTTCCAGGTCATCCATAATCATATACGTCACAACACCTTTCACATATCCTCCATCACCGGCCGTTTCTCCTTCAGCAGTGGATCCATGGACAAAAGTCGCCTTGGTATTTATGCTTGAACTGCAGTATGGACAAATGGCTTTAGGGTTGTCCGTTACAACGGTGGCTTTAGGGTTGTCCATTACAAGCATTGGATAGGTTTGGTGGCGACTACGACAACCACAATAATAGAATGACTTTTCAGCAGAGGAGTCGTCTATCGTCAGCATATGAAGGGCATCGGCACCAACACCAATCGTTGATGTTGCGTTAGGTTTCAGGAGGGATTCCTTGTTAAAGTGAGGTTGCATGTATATGCTGCTTAGGCTTTCGACACTGCCGTAAAGTTTGCCTAACGAGCCAACCATGCCATCTTTGGAGAGAAGCCGGATGACAGTGCCAATCGGCAAAGACAGAATTGTGAGGAGAAAGTCCACAAAGTCTTTGCCAGCTTCAGCATAGAGAACTCGTTGACGCGTTGTGTCGATAAGGAGCTTCAAACAAATACTTGGCTTGGAGGTTTCCATGTACACCGAGGGTTTTTGAGTATATTGTTCAAGCAACGGAAGTTTAGTGCATCTTACCTGCAATAATGGATCTATTTATAGAATTTGCTAAAACTTAGGCCACAAAAATGATTGATAAGTTTTAGTCGGTTCAGTTTTGGCTACACATTATATATTTTATTGTATAATGCCGCCTGGGAAGAGCTCATTCTCTTGCTGCGAATAACGTATCTTGACCGTCTAAATTTCATAATCAGAATTGTTTAATTTCTTAGAACTCGTTTGGATGTGCTTTTAAAATGACTGAAAACGTTTTTGGTGAAAATGTTTCTAGAACCAATATTTAGTAAAAATGTAAGTAAATCCTAGAAAAGCACTTAAAGTGCTTCTTGGAAGAAGCACATAACTGATGCTTCTTACAGAAAGCACTTCAAGTGCTTTTGGAACGCAAAAGTGATTTTTGTAAAAGCGCTTTCAGTCATTTTAAAAGCATATCCAAACGAGTCATTAATGTTCATTTGAAGATCACCCTTACAAAAAATCATTTCAATCAGAAATCATTTAATCATTCAAATGTATAAAGCAAATTGACAATGCAGATACTAAATAATATATTCATGAAGAACCGTGTATCTATTAGATGAGTTTGGTGATGAAACGATCTCAAATTTGAATATTTTTTGTAGAAGTGATCTTCAAATAAAAGTTAATAACTCATCACTTTGGTATAATCATTTGATCGTTGAGGTAATAATTCGTTCAAAAACATGTAAACAGTGTTTTAAAAGTCTGCATAGGCAATCCCTAAGCACTGAACGGATAATTACCGCTGCAATGAACTCCTAATCGGTCAGAAAGCCAAAATCCTCAAATTGGCTACTTTTTTAATTTAAGTATATGCTCTATATCACAAAAATTGGATGTCAGATCACTCTCGTTTACCCCGCTTTGCTCGTCGCTGTAATTTTAATTTATGAGTATGCGTGTGCTTTGTACGAAAAGCAAAGACTCTGCATTATTGATCAGTTGAATTATTACATTGTGTTTTCTTTTCTTTTCTCACATTTGTAAAATAAGAAAGCAAACGGATACATGTATTGGTAAATGGTGGTAGGATTTGTACGAATAGCAAGACTGATTGCATCAGCTTGGACGCCGATTCCACTATTCTTTTTCCACAACTTATTTTTTTCCAAAGGAAAATAATGAAAGACTCACTTTATCCTATAGTCTAGTTAGAGAGTTTTTTTAGTGTATTGGAAACATGCTCGTTATACAAAGGATGCTAGTATAATTGTTTATTTACACCTAGCTTATCGTACAGATCACATTAGGGGTTTCGATTCGTATGCAGGTTTAGAGTAGTACAGGTCACATTAGATGACTCCGGCTGGATTGATGAGCAATAGGTTCAGCCGTACAGGTCACATTAGGTGACTCTGGCTGGCATATCACTTTTACATTGATTTATATCACCTAACTTACATATTTACTGCTGAGATAGTGACATGACATATACTTGGTTTTCACTACTCTCGAGCATGATTTCTATATACGTATGTATTATTATTTTCTAGGAAATTATACAAGGTTTTACGGCGAAGGGTTATAACGTTCAAAAGGTTTTTATTAAAAACTTTATTTTCAGGCCCACTCACCCTTGTTTTTGCATCCCTCCAGGTTTTAGTTGCTGAAAGTTCGTATCGACGAAGATTCTTAGCAAATCTTAGTATAGGTGGCTATGTCTAAGGGTATAATCCTTGCCCACACTACTGTACTTTACTTATGCTCAGACCTCACGTGTGAAATGGGTTCATTCCCGCTCACAGCGCACTCTCGTCTTTAGATACTTTTAGGTTTAAATTTATTCACATTTTCCACATTACTATACTTTATGGCTTCGTCACCTTCCGGGTGTCGGCTAACATAGCTCGATTCGGAGTCCTAGTGGATATTCCGGGTCGGGGTGTGTCAATAGTTGGCTCTAACAAGGTTGTTATCCACAAGAATTGAATGAATAATTTATGTAAAATCAAATCTTAATGAAGCAAGGGATTGTATAACTTGTAAGGATTGCAAAGTTATACTGAGAAAAAGCTTGGCTAATCAACATCGCTTGTTGGTGATAAATGTACATATCAAAAGAGAGAGAAAAAAAGAACAAGACTTTGAAGTGTCCAAGGACTAGATGGTGGAATCTAAAAGAAGAAAAATAAGTCATTTTCGAAGAGAAAGTAATTACCCAATGCATTTAGGATAGAGAGGGGGAAGCTAGCCAAATGTGGGATTCCATGGCTAGTTGTATCCAAAAAGTAGCAAAAGGGGTATTAGGAGAGTCCAAGGGCTTTGCTCCATACTAAAAAAAATCTTGGTGGTGGAAGGAGGAGGTACTGACAAAGGTGGAGGCTAAGAAGGAATGTTGTAAAGCCTTATACAAAGATAGAACCTATGAAAACGGTTAAAGGTAAAGAATAGTGAAGAATGAGGCGAAGAAAGTTGTGAGAGAAGCTAAGTTAACAGCTTTTGACGATAGGTATAAGCGACTAGATACCAAAGAATGAGAGTTGGATATCTATAAACTAGCTAAAGCAAGGGAAAAGAAGACAAAGGATCTAAACCTAGTGAGGTGCATCAAGGATGTGAATGGAAATGTTCTTGCTACAGAGAACGCGGTCAAAGACAAATGCAGAGGTTATTTTCATAACCTTTTCAATGAAAGACATGAAAGGAGTACTTTTTTTTTAGGAGTTGAGTAACTCAGAAGAGTGTAGAAACTACTCCTTTTACCGCCGAATTAGGAAGAAGTGGTTGTAGCTTTGAAAAAGATGAAGCATAGAAAAGCAGCGTGCTCAGATGATATACCGATCGAAGTTTGGAAAGTCTTGGGATAGATAGGTATAACATGGCTCACAGACCTTTTCAATAGGATTTTGAAAACGAAGAAGATGTCAAATGAGTGGCAAAAGAGCACTTTGGTGCCTATCAACAAGAATAAAGGCGGCGTACAAAATTGCATGAACTCTAGGGGTATTAAGTTAATGAGTCATACAATGAAGCTTTGGGAGAGAGTAATTGAGCATAGACTGAGGCAATAGACACGGGTCTCGGACAACTAAATAGGGTTCATGCCAGAGCACTCAACCATGGAGGCAATGATATGAAAAAGAATTTGCACATGGTCTTTATAAATTTGGAAAAATCGTATGACAGGGTCCCAAAAGACATTATTTGGAGGATTCTAGAGAAGAAAGGAGTACGAATAGCATATATCCAAGCTATAAAAGATATGTATGATGGAGCAATGACTGCCGTAAGAACTCATGAAGGACAAACTGAATAACTGTAGAGTTACATCAAGGCTCATCTTTAAGTCATTACCTTTTTGCATTAGTAATGAATGAGTTAACGGGACATATTCAAGATGACATTCCTTGGTGTATGCTTTTCGCAGACGATATAGTGTTGATAGATGAAACTCAGGAATGAGTAAATGTGAAGCTTAACCTTTGGAGAAAAGTGTTGGAATCTAAGGGTCTTCGCCTAAGTCGGTCAAAGACAGAGTATATGGAGTGCAAGTTTAGTGCAGACAGAGGCTCAAATGAGTTAGGGGTGAGGATTGGATACCAGGAAGTACTAAAGAGCGACCGTTTTGCTACCTAGGATCTATCTTGCAAAAGAACGTAGAATTGGATGGAGACCTCAACCATAGAATACAAGCTGGATGGATGAAGTGGAATAGTGCATCCGGCGTGTTGTGTGACCGTCATATGCCACTAAAGCTCAAGGAAAAATTTTATAAGACGACAATAAGGCTGACAATGCTTTATGGCATAGAATGTTAGATGGTGAAGCATCAACATGTACATAAAATCGGTGTAGCCGATATGAGAATGCTTCATCTACTATTTATTCAACGAGAAGGGAATACAAGACATGAAAAAGATCCACCGTCATAGAGAGGTCCGATTAGATGTGATCATGACATTCTGGTATGTCATCAGTCACGAGTGATGAACCCTGGGGTTGCTCCAAATATTGTCCTATTTTTAGCCCATTTATTAAAATTTCCCTAAAACAATTGTCAGGATACATCCTCAGGTAAATTGACGCTTCGATCTAGCTTAAATGATCCAATTAAGCATTCATTTTATTTAAATTAAAGTAAAGAAACATCACAAAAACACCATTGCTAAAGCAACAATAATCTCAAATGTTTATGCCTTCTTTTGACCAAGGAACACATTAGTATGAACAGTGTTGGTCTCCAACGATGCAAATATTTTTAAACGACTGAAAGCGCTTTCAGAGAAAATGTTTTTAAAATCAATCCTTAGTAAAAATACAAATTAACCAAGGAAAAGCAGTTCAAATCTAAAAACATTTTCTTTAAAAATGCTTTCAGTCGTTTAAAAACACTTACCAAACGAGCTCGTAATTAGTCCCAATGGAATTGCTGTTTTTATTGTCAAAGTAAATTGGAAGAAAACAGCCAAAAACATAACAAAGAGTGAATCCAAACTGCAAAAGATAAGAAGAATTGAAAAGACTTGAACTGGGAACTGGGGTTCGTAGTATTGTATCTTTAGGCTTCACCCTTCAAGAATTTAGGGAACCACTTAGCGGAGTCTTTAGGAATGCGCTTAAGATTGTCTTTGTAATCGATGTAGTAAAGCCCGAATCTTGAGGTATAGCCATCACCCCATTCAAAGTCATCAAACAAACTCCAGTAGAAATATCCTTTCAAATTCACACCATTCTGTCTTGCCTCATTGATCCAGTACAAATGCCGAAGAGTATTTTCGATTCTATGTTGATCCTTCAGCACTTCTCCTAGTCCACGTTTATCATCCTTTGGCTCGGTAATTCCATTTTCTGTAATGTAGATCTTCGGACTTCGATAGTGTTCCTTCATGAACGCCAACAATTTCTCCAGACCTTGAGGATAAATGTAGATGAAAGTACTCCCATTAGCCGGAGGTCCGATTAGGACTTCATTTCTTTGTTCTGTCAGTGAAGCTAAAGCATCGTTGTGGTAGCATGTTGGTTTCTTTGGACTTGCTGGGTCGTTTTTACCATATCTTGATGTATAATAGTTGATGCCAATAAAATCAAAAGACCCTTTTAACAATATCTTTTCCTTCTTGCTAAACTTGGGTAACCTTTCCTTGACCAAATCTCTCATACTCTTCGGATAGTGTCCGTATACTAATGGCTCCATGAACCACCCGAGGTTGAAGTCCAAACCTCGTTTCGCTGCAGCTCTATCTTCCACCGAGTCTGAAAAAGGCTCGACATAGACTCCTACAAGACTTAATCCAATTTGTCCGCCTTGTTTTTCTTGGAACTTCTTTCGGTATAGCTTAACAACAGTGGCATGAGCGAGGAGAAGGTTATGGCTCACAATGTAAGGTTCAGTGGCTGAATTACCAGCTGTGCATTTAAAGCTTGTGTCTACAGAACACCTGCCTGGTGCAGAAATTCCAACATCATACCCCATGAAGGCAACAACATATGGTTCGTTGATCGTGATCCAATTTTTAACCCTGTCTCCAAATGTTTTGAAACAAATTTCACTGTAATCCTTCAAATCATTCACAAACGAACGGTTCAAAGGGCCTCCGTACTTGTCTTCCAACGCTTGTGGCCAATCAAAGTGCAATATGGTCACATAGGGTGTAATGCCATTCTTGATTAACTCATCGATGAGGCTGTTATAGTGATCGATACCCTCTTGGTTTATTCCGCCACTTAAGGTTCCCTTGGGTAGAATCCTTGTCCAGGCGATCGAAAATCTGTAGAAATCAACTCCAGTGTCCTTGAGAAGCTTCACGTCTTCCTTGTATCGCTTATATGAATCGATGGCAGTGAACATGTTCGACCGGTCCACAATTCTTTCTGGGAATTGCTTAACAAACGTGTCCCAAACACTTGGTCCTTTTCCTGCGGATTTTGCTGATCCTTCTATTTGTGCTGCAGCAGTAGCCACTCCAAAGACAAAATCGCTTGGGAAGTCGGCCCTCTTAACTTGGAGTTCTTTCGGGTTAAATGCAACGACGTAAACTTGTGACAAACGGGCAAACAAACCGATGATACACATCCAGTTTAAAACCCTTAAGAAAGGTGGCGAGGACGACATGGTTAAATTTCAGCAAGGATGCCTTGAAATTTCAGCAAGAGAGAGACAAGAGAGAACTGAGCTTGGCTTGATTAAGGATGCCTGGAGCAACTTCAACTACTAATAGCAGTAGCATTAATGTGTCCAGCATTTGCGTTACAAGAATATCTAGACAGTTGCCCTTTCTTTGATCAAATTTATTCATTGAGTAGTAAAAGTAGTAAATGCTTGACAGTTTCAGGTCGTTTAAATTGTTGTTAATGCTCGTATGCATTCGCTGTTAAATGGTTGGAGCTGTTATTCGCACTCTAAAGTAGCCATCAATTTATGATGAAAGAAAGATAAAAAACCAGGAAAGAGTGTTCATCAAGATGATAATTATGACATCTTGTAGGACATAGTTTCACTCAGTGGGCTTGCGAAATCGCTTTAGGGCTGCTCGGGCTTTGGATTGCCGTTGGTAAAAAATTCGACCGGAGTTAGCTCCGTCAGCAAACATCCTAGGGTTCAGCAAGGTCTCCTTTATAACAAGGTGTTTGTATGTGTCACTAAGGTCTCCTAATTAAGCTGCTTAGAAGGTGAGGACTGAGCATCCTCGTTCGTCCGCAACTACCGAGTCTCCATTTTGTTCGAGGAATGACGAGTTGTAGCAGTTAAGTTAGCTCTACAATTTATTCGAGAACATACAAATAGAACCAAATGATTACAACTTATAGCCATTTCTTTTGGGGGGGAGAGAGAGAGAGAGAGAGAGAGAGAGAGAGAGAGAGAGAGAGAGAGAGAGCATTTCGAATGGTACGTTTAATATAAATTGCTTGTTGCAAAGAAAAGACAGTAAGGATTTGATCCTCGTATCAGTGAATATACAAGAAAAATCTTACGAGTTACCAGGGAGGGCGTTAAAGCGCTGTACAACCAGTAAAGATTAGCAACGAGGCAGTTAAGAGTTGAGAGGGCGGCCTACTGCACAGCATAGTACAAAACACACCATGTCAGGATTACAAAAACACCCATAAAAGAACACACTTGTAAACGTAGACAACAATGAACAGTCCTTAAATGGAATTCCTACGGACCTAGCTATGCAAAACCCTTGTTTTATGAAAACTTCATCTTCCCTTGGATCGACAGAAAATGGCATCAAGAAAATATCGCAAAGTGCTTTAAAATGGAGCCTTTATTATATGTCTGCATTTCACCGTTGTTTTACAGCAACTTTTTAAACTATTAGGATTAAAACGGACATCAGAATACATAAGGGACAGGCATATGCACAGAGTGTTTACGCCAACCATGCATAAATCTTCCTTTAGTTTTGTTTTCGTTTTGATTGATTTACTCGCAGTAGCAGAAGCTAGCATCCAATCAAAGTTCACTCCTCAAGGGAGTTTTTTCAAGAAATGGGCATTAATAGACTCTTCGAGGGACAACTACTGCAGCTGCCCTACTTGCAAATAAGGTTTCTGTACATTTAGTAAGTGCTTCAGCAACTTCAAACAGAAAAGATGCATGCACAAAAACATGTCTAAATGCAGGCAGTGGAATAAAATCAAGTGAAACGGACCAAGGGTGCATGTGCCGTTTAGTAAAACCTTGTATTTAGTGCAGCAAAACAGATCATACTAAGATGGTTGGTTCACTAGTGACACTGCCACCCAAAGCCTCCAAGACGAAGCTACTATCCCAATCGCAGTACCAAAAAAATAGTTGACTAGCATGTCTTTAGATATTAAGGAATCAGTTTAATAATGGTTACCAACTACTTCATTACCTTAATGTTTTAGCCACTGGCGTTTATCCTGATGATGCCTGGAAAATGTTGGACTGCAAATTAAGTCAGCTGGAGAAACAGAAGATTGATTTGGGCAACATGACCATAAAGAATCTCCCCTAATTGCACTGGCACTACAACCGGCTCAATATTTCAAGAAACTCCACTGGTTCTTCATTTTCTTTAACAATCTGTTCATACAGCATTCAGTGTTCACAGTTAGAAACCCCATAGACTTCACAACGATTGACACGCATGCATTCACAGGCTTTAATCAACAGAAAATTACACTTTGAATGAATGAACACGAACAAATTGACATAGATACCTTAAACCCCAAATGAGCCAAAAATGAACAGATTATCGAAGAATATAATTGGTCACTGCTGAGTAATAACATCAGGCTAATAATCAAAGGAAAGTCAAAGACAATAACAGCACCAAAGATCTTTTGGCTTAGAGTAGATTATGTTAAAAACATAAAAGGGAAAGAATCAAACAATGTTGGAAAATCAGATTATAACAGATAAAAGGATCACAAATCTTAAACGTAAAAAGAGACAACCTAACACAAAATGTAAGAAACTGCAACTAACCATGCAAAAAAATCAGATTTAAAAGAGGAAAATATAAAACCCTAACAGCTGTCAAGTAACTCACTAATCAAAAGTCAAAGCCCCTGAGACCCAAAAATACTACGGATGCATAAGTAGATGGCAACAGAAATCTTATAGCAAACATACGTAATTTACAAGAAGCCACATTAACTGAGCCCTAGAGACACAAGCACCAAAAATAAAGACGAAATCAGATAAAAAGTAGAGGTAAACACAAATTCATATTCCATACCTTAATGATTGTGTCCTTTGGCAGACCCATTTGAACAAGAACATGAAAACCAACTTGATCCCAGTCACTCTCTTCTACATCAGTTCTCTCTCTTCCACTATCTAGTTGAATGGAAAACTTATCACTGTCGAAAAATCTCCCCACCCAGAGGTACAAAACCCTGTCTTCACTTTTTCCAAAATCTGTATTTGGTGAGAAAATAGTATAAGCAGCTTTAGAATCTAGTTCCCTCACACCAAATGTTGCAATCTTCTCTAAACTGGGCCAGCGGCACACAAAAGGTTGGATAAAATTGCATTGCGCTGGACAACTTTCCACAATCTCCTTTGAGGCAGAGGATTCTGTACCTTCCTTCAAAGGGTTCCAAGCCTCAGTGGAATGTTTGATAAAAGAAGTTTCCTTCTGGCATGAGTCAATACTATCTTCCCTACGTGGGGATTTGTCTCCCCCTCCATTTTGAACATCATCCTTCAACTCTAAGGCATTGTCAATATTATCTACGTGACCTATAGAAAAAGTACTGTCATTTATCCTAACACCGTCTTCTTTACTGGGAAGAAATTTTGACGAAGGACTCATCAGCCTCATCTCATCACTAATCACAGGTAATTTAAGAGACAAATTACCTCTGCGCTTTGCAAGCGAAGATGAAATTCTTTTAGATGGTAATGAGATTGATCGTGAATAGGGCTGTGAACTACAACTGGAAACAACATTTTCTAGTGTGTTAGACATGGGTTGATCAGATGATTTAGCTGAGAGGAGTGACACATCAGAATCATCTGACGATGTTGAAGATACTGGAAGAGAGCATGAAGCTGCAGATGGCGAATCGGTAGAGGATTCTGAAAAGTACTTTGAATTAGTGCTTGATTCAGAAGAAATGGAATCTGGTGATAGATATGAAGGTGACGAAGAAGAAGCTGATGAAGATGAAGACGGCGCTGATACAGGTGATGATGCATTTTTAGCTGAATGAACTAACATCATAGAATCTGAATAGACCCTGGAGAGGGATATCCTGGGTGCTGACACAAAGTCCTTCATACTTTCAGAGGCAAACTTACGCCTGAGAGCACTCCAGCTGCTCTCTCTAGCAGGAAGATGGGTTTCGTGTTCGTTCTCTGAGGATGCAATTGGAGGTACAAAACCACCACTAATAGCTTTCTGGAAAATTTCATAATCAATATTATACATGTCTGTTTTTCTTTCACCTGGGCGAATCTTAACTACTGACTCCCCAACGTCCCCTTCATTGCCAGACTTATCCATCAAAGGTAAAATGTTCGAGAAAGCATCCCAAAAGTACGCTGGTTCTTCCCCTTCCTTGATTATTGTTATTGGACCTTGCACTCTCTCATACCGAACAATCTGACAAACAGCCCCTCTTGCATCCCTTTCCATGATGGCGTCACAATTCTTACCAATCCAAACATATATGGCAGAAGGTATATGAACAATAAATGCACCTCTAGAATCCAAGGCAGACTGCGAAGGATCATTCAACATTTTTGGAACAAGATGCAAAGGATCATATGGTGAATGTGGGGCAATTCTGTACATCCTCAATAGTGAACTCGGGCTAAGAGGGAAAGCATGGACCCTCTTTTGGCACTGTAACAACTGACAAGCAAAACCCATATTTGGATCAGCAATACCTCTTGCTGCTTTCACATACTGAAACGCATCATCGAAACTCTGTCCTTCTCTCCACATAAGATACGCAATCACCAACGATGTGGACCGAGACACACCTTGACAACAATGAACCAAAACTCTTCCACCTTGTTCCCTAACGTCTTCAAAGTAATCAAAAACATCATATAAAATACTTGTAATATCCTCAGTCGGACTATCCTGCAACCACAGAGTTCTGTACACAAAATCCGCCTTGAAATACTCGGGACAAACAAAACCCACACAATTCAGAACATGGGTGATCCCGCTCTGCTTAAGTATGTCCCTATCCCTTGCAACAGCATCTCCGCCAAGATAAATGTGTTCAGCCACTTTGGAACACTCTTTATCAAAGAAAGCAATCTTATCCCTCCTCACAAGCCCGCCATTCTTTTCAGGATTTCGCTGAATCGCTGACAAATCAAGCTTCAACCTCTCCCCACCTGCTTCTTCCACTTGGGGTAGGAGGTTGTGGCCACTCACCAATATCATCTGAACCTGCCTTGGGCCACTCATCTAAGCTACGCCGAGCAATGGGCAACTGCAAGGGGGGCAAACCAGACCTAGCCTTGCTATTCTGCTGGGACCGAGGGGTTAAGGGTACAGGAAACCTACGATGGTTTTGGACACTGTTTCCTACAATGGCATTTGGATCTGCTAGGTCTCTTTCCTCAGTCTCAGAATTGGTCCGGGAAGCAGACCACGACGCTGAGCGCCAGAACATCTTCCGAGAG